AAAACTGGGGGGGCACTAATAATTTTATGGGTCAAGGAAAAGTACAGCACACTGTGATGGAGGGATCCCTCATCACTGCTGTGCGTGAGAGCAATTGCTGCGACCCTGGTAGCTCTGGTACTGACTCCTGTCAACTGTATAGAGGACTACAAATCTCAGCTATACATTATACAGCAATGCAGAATAATACCACCAGTAATGTAACGCAGAGTGCAGCGGTCAGGGGTGCGTGCAACGCAGAGTGCACTGGTAAGGGGTGCGTGCAACGCAGCGTGCGCTGGTAAGGGGTGCGTGCAAAGCAGCATGAGCTGGTCAGAGGTGCGTGCAATGCAGGGTGCGGCGGTCAGGGATGCGTGCAAGGCCAGAGCCCGGCGGTCAGGGGTGCGTGCAAGGCAGAGTCCGGCGGTCAGGGGTGCGTGCAACGCAGAGTGCGGCGGTCAGGGGTGCGTGCAACGCACCGTGCGCTGGTAAGGGGTGCGTGCAACGCAGCATGAGCTTGTCAGGGGTGCATGCAACGCAGCATGAGCTGGTCAGGGGTGCGTGCAATGCAGCGTGCGCTGGTCAGGCTACGTTGCTGGTCAGGGATGCGTGTAACGCAGGTTGCGGGGGTCAGGGGTTCGTGCAATGCAGAGTGCAGCGTTCAGGTGTGCGTGCAACGCAGAGTGCGGTGGTCAGGGGAGTGTGTAATGCAGCGTGTGCTGTAAGAGGTGGATTCAACTCAGCATTGCCCTGGTCAGGCTGCGTTGCTGGTCAGGGGTGCGTGTAACGCAGGGTGCGGCGGTCAATGGTGCGTGCAGCGCAGAGTGCGGCGGTCAGGGGTGCATGCAGCGCAGGGTGCAGCTGTTAGGGGTGCGTGCAGCGCAGGGTGCGGCGGTCAGGCGTGCCTGCAGCGCAGGGTCCGGAGGTCAGGGGCTCTGTAACGCAGGGTGCGGCGGTCAGGGGTGCGTGTAATGCAGGGTGCGCTGGTCAGGGGTGCATGTAATGCAGGGTGCGCTGGACAGGGGTGCATCACAGATAGAAAGTGTACTTACAGTTCTGATGTGCTCAGTCCTCGTGCCCTCTTCTTCCTCTCTGGGTGGTGGCGGGGGAAGGGGAGGAGCATCGATCCCCAAGTGTATGATAAAGTTCATGCTACTTCATTATATTTTATACCTCCTCCTTTTTATAATCATATAACTATTAATCAAACACACTCATATAAAAACATAATTGAGCAATATATAAGCTTAATAAAGGAAATTATAAGGTTGTATTCAAGCAGAAGCTTGCCCATTCCTTAAACAGGGTGGAATTTTGAAATCTTAAAAGTATAAATAACTTCTGTCAATTAGCCTAACAATACTTTGATGGTTGGTGGCATGGAATATATAACACAGAGCACAGCATGCAGAATGGAGCTGTGTGACGTATGTAAGGTACTGCACGGTGTATAGAAAAGGGAAGTCTGGAATAAGTTACATACAACACAGTGTATGGAGAGGACAACATGTCAGTCTGTTGTCACATCTGCACATCATGGCCAGTAGCCTACATTCTCCCCGATATTCTCTTTGAAATAAAGTTTTACTAAGTTCCTGCATATCACATTCATATAGAGCTGCAACAGTTAATCGATTAAGTCAATTAAAATCGACTTATCCTTCTCAATGCTTCCCATCTCTTCCCAATGCTGACCCCTTTTACACTAAACTTTGTCATGTAGGAGAGTGTGGTCTGAGCTACCTTTCACTTTCTGAGGTCCCACTAGCATAACGCATATAGGTGGCAGCATGGTTAGTGGGCCTTAATGCTGTGCTGCCAGATATGTAATTATGGGATTTTGCAAGTTAAAAGTGATCCAATTGTCATAATCCACTTCATGTTGTGAAATGTTAACCCCTTAAGAACCAAGCTTCAGATGCTTTTCTTTCAATTAAGGACCAAAGCAATTTTTGCTGTGTGTGTTCAACCGCAATTTCCATCTTTCTCATTATTGCACCAACACATATTATTTAAAGGACAAACAGGGGTTTAATTTGATGTGACATATGCATGACGGAAGATTAAACCCTTAAGGACCAATGGCAGAATTATTCTGTCATGGGGCCTTATGGCAGGGACAACCATGATGGAATAATTCCATCATTGGTCCTCGAGGGGTTAATTTAAATTATTCTGACTCCGATTGTTGTGATAGCGAAATATATCCCTTGCTGAGACCTCTATGCCTGGCCTGCATAAGCAGATATACTCACTGCGGACAATCCTCGTCAGATAGCTGAACTCGTCAATACCGATTCATTCAAAAGAGGTGTTTATTCTTTAACATCAGGGTTACATCAGATGATAGGAACAGCAGATGAATGGTTATAGTATTGTGCGGTCAGAAAATGATGCCTTTCCTACGTACTGTGCAGATTACATGTGTGTCCTTGTTACATGTGTCTTCTAACTGTGGCCATGACACAGGAAGTACTGCACACAGGAAGAAGGAAGGGGCGTACACTAGGGGAAAATACGTTGTCACATGAGGAATAATTACAGAAAGCATGTTTGTTACAACAAAAGGCCACTAGATGGCAGCATAGGATAACACATGGATTTAGCTATGAGAAAATAGTTAGGCAAATCACACTATGTAAAACTTCTATCTATATTAACTTCTATAACATATTCTATGCCCCATTGGGGCGGCACATAAATCATATAAGAAAGACATTATGTGCCACACAATGTAGTTTAGTTGGCTTTCAACAAATGCCGTAGCTTAAGAAGAAACTACTAAGTATACATATAACAAACAGTGAAGCTTGATTAAGTGACTGGCAGAAGGCATGCCAATGAAGGGCAGAATGAGACAGGGTGTAACATGAGTAATATTAAGGAGCCTGGCAGCAGGATCTTGTATTTATTGGAGAAGGGACAATTGAGCTTATGGTAGCAAAGCATCTAGGAAATTGCAAATGTTAAATTTTCATCTGATGAAAAGCAAGAATTCAAGTATTTGACACAAATTCTTTGCACTAAATATTACCGTAGAAGACCTGATGTATAAAGTAAATTATTTTGGTTTCTGTCTAATTTAACAGCTTTTTTTGTAGTTATTTTTTATAATTCTATACAGTATACAATTATAATAAAATATAGTTTAATAAAAAAATGCTTTGGCTATAAATACACTTTAAGTGGTTCTAGGTATAAGGACTGTCTATGAAACAGGGACATTGCTAAGCTTGTGAAAGACCTTGGGAACCCATGGGCACTCAGAGGAGAGGAATGAGATAACATGCTGAAAGTTGAGTGTGACCAAACTATGCTAACAATAGGCCAAAGGGGCATGGTTAAATAAAATCTGAACCTACTCACTGTATGCACGGCACACATATGTCACAGTCCTTGTACCTACAAAATATGCTTTAATTGCCGTGCCACAAGGGAAACATATACAAACCTCAGCACAATAATAATAATAATAGTAAAAAGAAACTATTTCTTTACATATGCTTTTCTGCACACAGCCTACCTTAATGTAGAACTTCATTAAACAGTGACTATTTAGCAACTAGCAACTGTTGAGACAATAGACACTTTGGTCAAGAGTATGTAATGTATAATATAGCACAGGGGTCAGGAGTATAAAATGTACTTGGGGTGGAGTAAGGAATTTGTCATATACAGAGTGAAAGGGTCAGAAATATATAATGCACTTTATTTGCAGTGGTCAGGAGTATGAAATAAACAACATAGTGTGTATATTGCAGGGCTTAGGGGTGTGTAAGGCACACAGACAGGGCTCAGGAACACATAAAGCACAAAGAACAGGGGTCAGACGTGTGTGACGTACAGAGTACAGAGGTCAGAAGTGCATAACACACAGAGCGCAGGACTTGGGAGTGAATAATGCTCAAAGAGCAGGGTTTAGGAATGTGTAATCCACAGAGTGCCGAGATCAAGAATGCATAATCCCCAAAGCGCAATGGTCAGGATTGGGTAATTGTCAGAACGCAAGGTTCAGCAATAGGTAACAGAGTGTGCGAAAAGTGTGTGTAATGCACAGGGGTAAGGAGTGCATAATGCACAGAGTGGAGCAGTCGCAGTGTGTAATGTACAGAGTGCAGGGGTCAGAGGGTGTAATGCACAGAGTCAGGGGTCAGAGTGTGTAATGCACAGAATGCAGGGGTCAGAATGCGTAATGAACAGAGTCCAGGGGTCAGAGTGTGCAATGCACAGAGTGCAGGGATCAGAGCATGTAGAGGACAGAGTCAAGGGTTAGAGTGTGTAATGGACAGAGTGGAGGGGTCAGAGTGTGTAATGCACAGAGTGGAGGGGTCAGGAGTGCGTTATGCATGAAGTGCAAATGTCAGGAGGGCATAACAAACAGAGTACAGGGGTCAGGAGTGTGTAACGCTCTAGCCAGTGTGCATAGTAGAACCAAAGATTACCTCTCTTTCCAGTACAAATCCCTCCACCAGTGCAGATCTCCCTCCCAGTATGTATTTCCCCTCCCAAATCCCCCTCAGTACTGCTCTCTCGCACCCCAAATCACTCTCAGTACAAAGCTTACCCCCTCCTCCCGCATCCAAAAATCCCCTGCAGTACATATCTTGCATTTACCTCCCTAAAGTCCACTCACCAGATCTAGATCTCAAATACAGCAGCAATGTACAGCAAGGGGGAGCCCTCCCCTCAGACAGAATGGAGAAGGAGTTTAGGGGATCCTTCCTTGGCTCTAAACTGCCGTGGTATCTGAGGACTAACAAGTCGCATGGTCGTGGCATCACATCCAGAACACTCTGCAATAGATGCAGGCACATACCTCAGGTACTCAAGGCTTTTTTTATAAAGACCAAAGAATACTAAATAATACCTCTGTATGTAGCCTATTACCAGCAATCTGTTTGTTCATTCATTCTGACAGCTGGAATCTAATTGGTGGCTGTGGAAAGTAGAGGTACATATGGATTAATCAAGCTGATCATAGCTTTATATTTTACATTATGGTTTGGTACTTTCTGTTACAGGCTGAATATTATTATGAGTTTTTGTCTCTTCGCTCCCTGGATAAAGGAATCATGGCTGATCCAACTGCAAATATACCATTACTGGGTACTGTTCCACACAAGGCTTCAGGTTTGTCACCTTAAGTGCATTTTGCAAATTGTCTATTTTATCTTTTTTTGTGTTTATGCCCCTTTTGTACTCAACAAACAGCTGCCTCCACTTTTCCTTTCTACCATGACATTGTTTTCCCTGATAGAGTTATTAAATGCCAGGACGAATAAGAGGGAAATCAATACTAACCTATGAAATGATATATGCACTTTTACAGCAAAGATTTAGTGGTTAATATTTAATATTATAGGATTAGTAATTAACTTGAAGGAAGTAGGCTTTTATTTAGGTCTTCATTGTGTACTTTAGGGTAGCCTATCGTGTTCTAGGGATTCCTTGAGCTGAAAGCAATTTCTGCCTCTCATATAAGTAACCACTGATACCAATGCTCTTTTTAACTGTAAGGGGAGACTCTTTCTATTGATTACTATTGTAAGTGCAAGTAGCATTATTCCCACTGACCATCACTACTGACCATTAGTGTAAGGAGCCCCCCCCCCTCCCCCCAGTGACCACACAGGACAGTGCATAGTGGCCACCAATAAAAAGCAAAGGTGGTCCTTCTCCCTCGGACCACCAATGTAAGGGAGTCCTTTTCCACTGACCATCAATGTAAATGGGCACTGCACTGACCACTAATGTTTACAAACACTGTACCACTGACCATTAATATAAGTGGGCATTTCTCCATTGTGAGGGAACCCTACGACTACACCACATTCCTTATTCTTATATTTATTCTTATATCTCAGCTTACTGTTCACACTGATGTACCATGAGCTGTAGATATAATAATTATTAGCATGGGTTCTCTGAGACCTGAAAGTTGTTTCAAGGGTCCCTCAGTTTTAAAAAAGGGTGAGAAAAGGTTGTGGAGTGCTGCCAGAGTGCATTCCTGCAACCAGGGGTCCTCTCTGCCGAGTCTATTTCAAGTGAGCATATAGTTTGAGTTATTGTTTGCAATGTTTACCTTTTGAATTTTTGTAATGTGACTTTTGTCATTTTTATTTTTTGCATGATCTTCCATGTTTTTGATATTGTATTAAATGTCAAAATTTTGTTGAAGGAAATCTTTATTTTACTATCATCACTTTTTAGATAAGATATCAGTCATAGCGGAAGTGCATTGTTTTCAGAGAGTCAGCTGACTCATTGTCTTGCATTGTGAGGAAGAACAGTCGGGGGGGGGCGGGGGGGGCGGGGTTTGCACTGGAATGTATAAATGCACTTGAATACTGGAATGCATAAAAAATGCACATAATCACGTATGTAGAAACACATCCGGAATGTGCAGAAAAAAACAGGAATCAGCACCTGCCTATGCAATTAGCCTCACTTACCTACTCATGTAATGACAAACTATACATAGAAACAACATTGTTTAAACTGTTATGCAGCAATAAGAATATTACATGCTGATCTCTTTCAAATGTATATCTAAAAATTATTGAAAAGACAATGGGCTTTATTCACGAAGCTGCTGAAGGCAGCCGAATGAATAGCCACACCGAAGTGAAGTGAGCCGAAGCCTGTTCGGCCATTCACTGCAGTGCTGTACAGCTATTTTTAGCCATACATCGGCTGCGTCCGGCTCACTTCACCTCCCTTTGTTTTGGACGAACAGCCTCAGCACAAAGGGAAGAACCTGTTTGCCTCAGCCAATGCAACATCTGGATCAGCTGAGGGAAATGTTCGGCACTTCATTCCCTGCTGTTCACCTCTATTCTCAAAGGGATCGAACAGCAGAGAGTGAATTGCCGAATGCATCCGAGCAGCATTTGGCTTAATCAATGAAAATGTCAAGGTTACAAGAAAAAAAAGAACCAGCGTAGTGTCCCCCTTCCAAATCATACCAGACCCTTTAGGTCTGTTAGGAATTTTAGGGGGACCCACCGAGGTAAATGTATGGCGTTCCCCCAAAAGTCATACCAGACCTTTTAGATAGGCATGTTTTTTTAAAAATGGGGTCCCCCTAAAATTGCAAACTAAACCATTAATCTGAACACTGGCCTTAACAGGGGGGCTCATCTGCATCTTGGTGCCCAGATGCTGCCCCCCTTTGTGAATGAGTGACGTCACGGGACTTGCACCGCTTATTTGTTTTCATGCTGTCTTGCCGCCCATTTGTTTACATTCGGGTCGGACCTGTAATTTGCAGCGGGAGTTCGTCACAAGCGGTCGGGTCAGCAGGTGTTGTTCATCATGATTGACAAAAGACTTGTCAAAAACGGTCTTTTGTTTTTTTTTTACATTTAATGGATTTTTCCAAGGTGTTTTCTGTTTATTTACTTTTGAAGTAACTCTCTGGTGAATGAGTAGGGGTAACAGCTACACCTTACTCATTCACAGCGGGGATGCGGCATCTGGGTGCCCCCTTTATGAAAGAGGGTACCCAGATATAGATGACCCCTCCTGCCCACAGTCCACCACAACCATCGGGCCAGGGTTTGTGGGGAAGAGATCCTTTGTCCTCATCGGCAGGGGCCCCCCCTGGAAAAGCACCCTCCCAATGCCTAGGGCATGTGGCCTGCTATGGTGCAGGGAGGGGGTGGGGTGCTTGCTCGTCCCCCTCCGTTTCCTGCCCTGCCAAGCCACTGCTCAGATTAAGGGTCTGGTTGGGTAAACTAGGGGGACCCATGGTTTTTTTGGGGGGGGGAGCATGGGGTCCCCCTTAAAACCTAAAGGGTCTAGTAGGAATTTTTAAGGGAACCCCACACATTTTTTTTTATTCTATTTTTTGACACCTTGCAGGGGATTCAGTCCACTTCGGCAGACCGTTCTCCCCTCCCTGGCTGTGTGTTTGGCTGTGCCGAGCCGAAGCATATGCGTTCGGTTCGGCTGCCTTTGGCTGCTGTACGGGCTATTGTGAATAGCCGAAGGCTTCTTGCAGCCAAAGCGAGCCTAAGGGTTAGCCAAACCCTTAGGCAGCTTAGTGAATAACCCCCTATGTATTCCCTATAAGACTATAGGGGTCTATTCACGAAGCTGCCGAGGGCAGCCGAGTGAATGACCGATCTGAAGTGAACTGTTCGTGGCCGCTCAGCCATGATCGGGAGCTGTACGGGCTATGGTGAATAGCACGTACAGCACCCCTTCGGTTCTACTGAACCGAAGGGGTCCTGGAGCCGAAGCTAGCCGAAGGATCGGCCGAAGCTACGGCCAGATCCTTCGGCAGCTTCGTGAATAGACCCCAATGTATTCCCATTCTGTGTCATTGTTGTGAGTAGAAATGCAGGTACTGGAATGGAAGATAGATTACACAAATATGTAATTACGTTTGGACGTAAAGACGGCACTATATGTGCTTACAAGTACTTAGGTTTGCTGCTGACTGTTGAACTATCACTGTAAAGCGTATCATGTATTTAGAGGGATGTGTGGGCCCAATACACTGTAATCGGAACATGAATGATAGCTATTTATAGCTGAACAAACAGGATGAGGTTTTAGCCAATGTGTATTTTAATAGGAATGGAGAAAAGCTATTGGAAACTCAGTTATAGTTTAAAGGGACTCTAAATAAGCTATTATCTGAATTTCTATATCTAGTTATACATTGAAATATGTTGTTTGATAGTCTGAACAGATTTAAAATATTTACCACATGTAATTAATTCTTCATCTGGCAAAGACACCATTGTCACCATTTTTGCTTGTAAAAACTAGATAAAGACCACAGGGCTTATTCAGTAAAGCAGTACAAAGGAAGGTAGCACAGAGCAGGCAATCAACTTTTAGGTTACTGTAGATACAAAAATTTGCTGCTAGGGAATCCAACTACTTCATGGTGTAGGATCGCCTCTCCAAAATGTAATGATCCAAAAATTCAGCCAGCACATGGAAAATTCAGGTTCAGAGATTATTAATCAATACAAAACCATAGACAGTGGCATAGCATGCTGCTCCTTGACAAGTTTCCAAAAAGATTATACAAATAAAGTTAGGGTGGACCAAAACTGCAGGTATTGTATGTCTTTCAGTGGCCAGAGGGCACAGCTGGCTAGTGTAGCTTCACCTATAGCCGCCCTGTTCCATCAAGGCAAGCAGGCCTACTGGTACTTGGTTGCCCCCAGGATTTAATACATGATGCTATATTCTCCGCCCAGTTAGCACCTTAGGCTGGGCAAAGGTAGAACATGAGTGCCTGTGGTTCAGGAAGATACAGATGTCCACAGAGAGTAGCAGAGGCAGTTGCCTTGGCTGAAGAGTAATCAGAAGGATCTGACAATCCGTTGGTCCAGGCAGTAGACAGAAACATGGTCAGTAAACAGACATCAGGCCAGTCCTGGCAGCAGGCAGAAACGTGGTGAGTAAACAGGCAAGGGCTCAGTCCAGGAAGCAGTCAGAAATGGAAAATCCAATTAAAATACAGGCAAGGGTTGGTAACCAGGCAGATCAAATACAGGCAATAGCAGTTAAAGATGCATGTGGGAACCCCCAAATCAGTGAGGTTTTCAGGGCCAATGAAAGGTAAAGAGGGATGAAATTAGGTAGGCGTTGCTATGCAGCAGAACACCAATAGACTAGACCACAAATATGGAAGCATTGCTATGCAAAAGGCTGCTATTCGGCACAACCTTTAGTCAGCAGAAATGCGTCAGAAAGCGGACCGCACAGCGGAAGGCTAGAATCCCTGTTAGTTTTTTTTTGGTGTCTCTTTTCCTTTTGCTAATTTCTCCTCACTTTATATCTGGTAAAACCTTGTTCCGATAACAGGAAATAAAGAGAAATCTTTAGTAAAGCCTTGTCCCCAAAACAGCAAAAGAGGGAAAAACTCTAACAGAGCCCCAAATAGCCCCCATTCCCAAGAAATGTATGATATAGATTAATTTACATTTTTTAAAACCAATTTGTTTCTTGATTTTGTACTATTCTTGCAATATTACATTCTTCTATATGTGCATTTATATTCTATTGTCTATTGTGTTTTAGTTGTTCAGGTTGGTTTTCCATGTCTTGGCAATCAAGATGGAGTGGCAGCATTTGAAGTTAATGTCATTGTTATGAATTCAGAGGGCAATGTGATTCTTCAGACCCCACAAAATGCCATCTTTTTCAAGACTTGCCAGCAAGGTAGTAACATTTTACAGTTCAAATGTTCCAGGACATCTGTATACAGTGTATAGATCTGGGAGCTCGCAGTTTTATTGGATTGCTCCTAACCATTTAAAGTTGACCAGTCTTAAAGGAAATACAGTAAACTCTCTGTTATCCGGTATTCAGCTAACTGGAACTCCCATCTAACTGGCAAAAAAATCCCCTGTGTACTCACTCATAGTTCTGCCGATCATCCACCTTCTAAAAAAAGGAGAGAGGGCTCTGGAGCATGAAAAGGTACAGGAACATGCCGAAAAGTGCTGGATTATCCTGGGAATGAGTGTCTGAACAGTCTCTGAAAAGTGCTGTGTTATCTTGGAAAACAGTGTGTCTGATCGATCGTTTGTGAAAGTGTTATGTTGTCCTGTGAACAAGCGGCATCTGGTGATCACTCCCCGTACTGCAATGTATTGCTAATGGTTAAGAGTACAATATACTGTTATGGTATGGTATAGTATAGGGTATAGCATTAGTTAAACCCATTTTTAATAGTAACTCTCAAGCAACCAGAAACAACATTTATCCGAAACCTACTAATCCCAGAGGATGCCGAATAACGGGGAGTTTACTGTATAAAGAATACCTCTGCTAACATCTGCTTCTAAAAATGATAGTTCCCCGGCTGTCATCCTGATGCTTTGGCTTCAGTGCTCTGGGCTGAGTCACTGACCAAGAAAAAATGAAGAGATAATACATTTAGACTTTTCACTGAATTTCATTTGCTGCATTCTTCTTCCAGAACTTTGACGTGGAAGAACTAAGCCAGATAAATTAGCTTTTTCAGGAGGAGGCCAGCATCTACCTAAATTGTTATATGACAATTGTATATTAAATAGTAATGCACTTAAAAAGAACAAAGGGAACATCCTCTTTACATGTGCATTGCAATTATACTAGTTTAGCACTATCTGCAAGAATATATGGAAAGCGATCATTACCTACACTTAGAGGGTTATTCACAAAGCTGCCGAGGGCAGCCGCGTGAATAACCGCCCCGAAGTGAAGTGAGCCGAACGCTGTTCAGCTATTCACTTCAGACTTGTACGACTGATTTCAGCCGCATACCGACTGAAATCAGCCGTACATCGGCTTGCTGCGGCTGGGTTTGGGTCGGCCGAACATGCTCAGCATGCTCGGCTGACCCGAAGTGCAGAAGGAGTTCTACTCAGCCGATCCAACATCTGGATCGGCTGAGCCGAACCTCCGGCACTCGCAGCTGTTTGGCCTATTCTCATGGGGGCCGAACAGCAGTGAGTGATTAGCATTCGGCTCGGCTATTCTGCTCGGTACCTCTGTGGTACCGAGCCGAATAGAAAAACAGTTGAAAAAAGTTGAAAAAAAAATAGAAAACGATTAGCAGACCCGGAGGTGATATGAAAGCTGACTCTCAGCCGAGTTCTCATGATACTAACACATCAGTTGGTAACCAGAGGACGCTGAACTGTCAGTACCATAAGAGCTCAGCAGAGTAGGCTTTCATATCACCTCCAGCTCTGCTGAACTCTCATTGTAATGCAGGGGGGAGAGAGCACCCCGCTGAAATGATGGCAGACAGCAGAGGAAGCAATAGCTTCTTTGCTATCTGCAAGTTTCTTTTTTTTTTAGTATTCTGACAGCTGCTGCCGTCAGAATAAGAAAAATGGCATAGGAATGCATAGCTAGATTCCTATTGGCTATTTCAATTTGCAATATCCAATAGCAAGCTAACTATTGCACCCGCCCTCTGCTGCTGTCAATCACTAGAGAGGACCTGATGGAGAACTTCGGGTCCCCTCTGCTGATTGACAGTAGCAGTGGGCGGGTGCAATAGCTAGTTTGCTATTGCAAAGTGAAATAGCCAATAGGAATGTAGCTATGCATTCCTATGCTGTTTATTTTTTCTGACTGATGGCGGCCGGCGGCCTCCTATGTCAGAAGAAAAAAAAAACAGAGCAGGGAAAGGTTTACCTTTCTGGGAGAAAGTGTTTCTAATCTATCTTATAGCAGGAGACTCCCGGAGTCTCTGCAAGTGGCCGGAGCCAGCCGTGAGATGACGGCTGGCTCCGCCCAGCTGTCAGTAGCAGGCTGCCGGCCAGCTTTGCCTTTCACCTCGGCTCAGTCGAGCCGAGGCATATGCCTTCGGCTCGACTGAGCCACTCAGCCAACTTAGGGAGCTGTACGGGCTATAGTGAATAGCCCATACAGCAGCCCTTCAGTTCTACTGAACCAAAGGGGTCCTGGGGCCGAAGCTAGCTGAAGGATCAGCCGAAGCTACTGCTAGATCCTTCGGCAGCTTTGTGAATAACCCCCTTATTGTATGTAACTAGTGTGATCTCAGTACAATATGACAGCAAATATTGGCACTTTGTGATTGCAGCATTACTGTCTTACAGATCTTATACCTACCAGGGAGGCCTGCAAAAGTGGCAGAACAAAAAGGACTTGCTGCCCATAACAATTAACCTTTCTTGCTTCGATTTTTTCGCTACACTGAAAAAGTGTTTTCTCCATTTCTTTATAGAAGGCCGTTACTTTTAGAATCTAAAATGCTCCAAAACTGTCCTGTAAATACTGTCACCATGTGACTACCAGTGCTGTGGCCTTCACAATCCAGATGTTTGGGTGCAGCACTATACAGGTGGTCGCTTTAGCTTTAGCGACGATTATTTGGCCCAGATACTTGTTTAGTTGTGCATGTAATTCTGCTTATATATATATATATAATTTTCCATGGGCCATTTGCTCATTCTACTTTGCTGATTTTGTATCTCATTTCACGTTTATGTCTACATATTTGTCTACATATACACAAAAATCTACTGGCAGTGAATCAGCCCATGAATCTCAAATCTCTTCGCACATCCTTAACTGCTACATAAAACTCAAGCTCATAACAAATCATGTGGCATTGGATTTATGTTCAACCATCAATGTGAGATTGTAACACTTTCTCTTTTTTCAGCAAAGTGCCCAGGAGGATGTAGAAATGGAGGCTACTGTAATGAGAGACATGTCTGTGAATGTCCAGATGGGTTTTATGGGCCACACTGTGAGAAAGGTAAAAACTTGTTTTCTTTCAGTACAGAGTGCCAAGAACGAGTCCACAGTATTACCCTTAGGCTCCTTGCAGCTGATCTTTTCCCAGACTGACACCATGCTTCCTTCTGCACTGTGTCTGTTATGGAAGTGACAATCTTGATAGAGGAGCAGGGTTTTGCTTCCTCATGTCAGACCTGCTATCCTGATGACTGGTCATTACTGCACTAATGAAAGTGGAGATGGCACAGATCCAGAGAATGATCAAAGCAAAAGCAGGGACATGCTGCTATGTAGGTCCTCAAGTACAGCTTCCCCTCCAGCAAACCCTCAGAAGAACAATAAGCAGCAAAGAAGCAAAATCACCAGTTGACAGTCTAAATCTCATGAGAAAATCTTTACTTTGTAGCACAGGTCCACTTTAATTCTTCTATTCTGGAGTCATGAAATGGGGCAGAGTGGTTGCTGCTGTTGATTGAGTAGAACTGAGTGTAGGCATGGTTATGCTTTTCCATAATTTATATTTCATTCTGGTGACAAGAATTGTACGGGCTATAGTGAATAGCCCATACAGCAGCCCTTCAGTTCTACTGAACCAAAGGGGTCCTGGGGCCGAAGCTAGCTGAAGGATCAGCCGAAGCTACTGCTAGATCCTTCGGCAGCTTTGTGAATAACCCCCTTATTGTATGTAACTAGTGTGATCTCAGTACAATATGACAGCAAATATTGGCACTTTGTGATTGCAGCATTACTGTCTTACAGATCTTATACCTACCAGGGAGGCCTGCAAAAGTGGCAGAACAAAAAGGACTTGCTGCCCATAACAATTAACCTTTCTTGCTTCGATTTTTTCGCTACACTGAAAAAGTGTTTTCTCCATTTCTTTATAGAAGGCCGTTACTTTTAGAATCTAAAATGCTCCAAAACTGTCCTGTAAATACTGTCACCATGTGACTACCAGTGCTGTGGCCTTCACAATCCAGATGTTTGGGTGCAGCACTATACAGGTGGTCGCTTTAGCTTTAGCGACGATTATTTGGCCCAGATACTTGTTTAGTTGTGCATGTAATTCTGCTTATATATATATATATAATTTTCCATGGGCCATTTGCTCATTCTACTTTGCTGATTTTGTATCTCATTTCACGTTTATGTCTACATATTTGTCTACATATACACAAAAATCTACTGGCAGTGAATCAGCCCATGAATCTCAAATCTCTTCGCACATCCTTAACTGCTACATAAAACTCAAGCTCATAACAAATCATGTGGCATTGGATTTATGTTCAACCATCAATGTGAGATTGTAACACTTTCTCTTTTTTCAGCAAAGTGCCCAGGAGGATGTAGAAATGGAGGCTACTGTAATGAGAGACATGTCTGTGAATGTCCAGATGGGTTTTATGGGCCACACTGTGAGAAAGGTAAAAACTTGTTTTCTTTCAGTACAGAGTGCCAAGAACGAGTCCACAGTATTACCCTTAGGCTCCTTGCAGCTGATCTTTTCCCAGACTGACACCATGCTTCCTTCTGCACTGTGTCTGTTATGGAAGTGACAATCTTGATAGAGGAGCAGGGTTTTGCTTCCTCATGTCAGACCTGCTATCCTGATGACTGGTCATTACTGCACTAATGAAAGTGGAGATGGCACAGATCCAGAGAATGATCAAAGCAAAAGCAGGGACATGCTGCTATGTAGGTCCTCAAGTACAGCTTCCCCTCCAGCAAACCCTCAGAAGAACAATAAGCAGCAAAGAAGCAAAATCACCAGTTGACAGTCTAAATCTCATGAGAAAATCTTTACTTTGTAGCACAGGTCCACTTTAATTCTTCTATTCTGGAGTCATGAAATGGGGCAGAGTGGTTGCTGCTGTTGATTGAGTAGAACTGAGTGTAGGCATGGTTATGCTTTTCCATAATTTATATTTCATTCTGGTGACAAGAATTATTTACATTGAATGATCATGACTGGAGCAACAAAAGGTCCTGTTAAACTGTATCATCTATTTTAGGTTATCATCATTTAGTTTATTGCCAAAGACGTCCTCTATCTTCATCAATGTTTGTGATATGTCTCAGTTTCTTTACCCTTTAGTAGTTCCTGGTTTTAAGTCTGACATTTCTGTCCCTAATTTATTTTATTCTATGTGGTTTGGACATGTTTTGGTAAATAAATACAGTCTGAATGTTTCACTCCTGTTTTGTATTTAGTATTTGCTAACAATAATGCAAGCAGAGTATGTGCTAGCCCTGAAGCGTTCTTTTTATAGCACTGCCAGTGTGTTTAGGGAATGAGTCTGTGCTGCCATGTGGTCTGACCGATGTGATTTATCAGTGACCATACAATAATATGAGGCTGCTTAGCAAGGGAGACTTAAAGTTATGAGTATCCTTCTAGAAATATTTATTTACGTTATCTGTAATTGCAGGGCATGGCATTCCTATGCTGATATGCACACTAGTGACTCTATGTAACTTCCAGTGAGTAATAAATAACAGGAATAAATTAAAAGATGGCTAAGATGGCACCACCTAAAACTCTTTAAACACTGACATTAGCATGAATGGCCCATAGCATACTGATACATGTGGTTTCTGTTGGTATTAAAAGAAAACTAGCACTTATAACAAAGGATCAAAGAATGGATCCAGACAATTGGTTCTGCTAAACGAGGGGTGAAACAAAATACTTTTACTTCTTAGTGAAATTACATTAATTCCTTCTTGTAAATACTTATAGAACGGATCTAAACTACTGATACTCACATGCCCTAAATATGACATGCAGGTGCTGTTGTCTACAAGCATGCTGCGTTATTGTTAAACCGACCATGCTTATAATGACATTATATTGCTTTCTTGTCTCTCTTGTGTAATTTTGTTATAGCTCTCTGCATGCCACGGTGCTTGAATGGTGGGCTTTGTGTAACTCCGGGACTGTGTATCTGTCCACCAGGGTATTATGGAATCAGTTGTGATAAAGGTATGTGAACTAAATATAATACAATACATATGGGCAGTACTGTATATAACCAAAAAAATATATATGTTTTGCCTTTAGTTAAACTTACCATTATAAAGCATGCAGGGAACCCAGGCTCCCTGCTCAGAGCTTCAGTTCTTTATGCTAACTTGTATTGGCAACTCGGTGATCTGGTAACCCCTTTTGTTTAATGTAATGCAGTAGAGGTATTCCTATTCATTGGGTCCTTGTAGTCTCTTGAATTGGTTACTGAAAATTTAATAGATCAAGATTTCCTAACATGTTCCTAGCAGCCAACAGACCGATTCAAACCTACCTTGGGATTTTTAATGTGAGCAATGTTGAGTGATAAATCAGCCAGAGGGAAAAAAAAGAGTTTGGAGTTGCTGAAAAGCTGCATGGTTATGGAGCTAAACTTTTGTGCTCCTCCTTTATTTGGAATAAAATATAAGAGCTAATTTTTAATTGTAAAAAGTCCTAAGTGTGGAAAACAATTTTCTATATAGTTAAATATTACACATGAGAGGAGTGGCTGCACTCGATGAAATAGAACCAAGGCGGATTTTTTGATGTTACTACATTTGCTTCGGCTTCTGGATAGTATTAGTAATTCACTGGTTGGTTTTGATTCTTTCTTGGAATTCCTCTTAAAAGTTTTACCTTTACTTGTAAAAAAAATGTGGGACAGCATGATATAGAGTGAAAGAAAAAAACTGAATAAAGGGTAAAAAAAACAGACTAGTTCATTTGACAATATAGTGCCAATAGAAGGGAGATTTATCAACCCATAATAACACACAGAACATAGATTAGTGTTTCTTAATCTAACTAGCATACATTGACAAAAGCTGTTGCATACAATGTTTTTTTCCCATTATGATATGAAACAAATCATATTCATATAACTATACTTGAGCTAATGGTCATTCGTTTGAAGTTGAATGCTCCGGAGAAGGCCCGGCCCGACACACCCTGTCCTTCTGCTACAAACTCCTGCTCTGCGGCAGCACACCTGAAAACCTGTGGTTCCTCACAAGGTGGGAGGAGGATCTGGGGATCCAGTTCACTCCGGGAGAACGTACAAAACTTCTTACATTATCTTACCGATCCTCCATTAGCAACAAGTACCAGGAGACCGGGTACAAACTGGTCACTAGGTGGTACAGGACACCTCACATGCTACATTCCATGTACCCCCAGACTCCTGACACCTGCTGGCGTTGTGGCCCCCCCTCTGCGGACATTTTACATCTATTCTGGTCATGTCCCTTGCTCACCACGTTTTGGGACCAAGTCCGAACCATCACCCAAAAGTTCACTGACCTCCCGGTCCCTCGAGACCCGGCCTTCTTCCTCCTACATCATAATAACATACCGACCAAGACATACAAACGATCTGTCGTGCGCCACCTAGTTAATGCTGCCCGAGCTTGCATTCCGGCCCGCTGGAAAGACCCCACTCCGCCCAATATAATCCAATGGTTAGACAGGATAAATGACATATACCTCATGGAAGATCTCACCAGCTCGCTCCATAATACACCTGACCAGTTTGGTAAGACCTGGTTTTACTGGATTGAGTTTCTCCACTCTCCAGAGTATGATGCCCTACACCTGGACTCTGGGTCATGACCCACCAATCCAACCAGCGCCCTGGATTCCCTCCCCCCCCGTACACCTCCTGACCCCAGAACCCCTCTTTTCTCCTCATCTACCCTCTCCCCCTTTTCCCCCACTGTCATACCCTCCTACAGACCGCTGTGGTAATGCCGTGACCTGACCCACCTGTGGGCCTCGGCTCCCCCGCTCCTGACCGGGTAATCACCTTAGATTGTTTCATGCAACGAGACCCGACAGCAGGGGCCCCGAATCACCGCCCCCATGTCATCATCAGGATCTAGGCCGCGACACTTGCCTTTCTATTGCTACATATTTGTTTCACCCTTTATGTTTTGCCTTTCTGTCCATGATTGATGTCTATATTGAGCTAGTAATGACATGTGTGTACTGCATATTTGGACACCCCTTTGAAAAACCCGTTTGTATACGGGAAAAAAATGTTTTCTTCAATAAATAAAGAATTTATTAAAAAAAAAAAACATAATATCATTGCAAATTATTTTCTTTATGCAGCAAACTGTTCAACCAACTGTCTGAATGGAGGAACATGCTTTTATCCAGATAAATGTATCTGCCCATCAGGTTATGAGGGAGATCAGTGTGAAATAAGTAAGTGATATATAACAGCCAATTACACTGTAAAGCAATGATCATGTGACCCAAGTCTGTGCTAGGTTAAAAAGTTGTAAAAAAAAAAAAAAAAAGCAACTTAAAAGCTGCTTTTATTTATGGCAAGAACAAAAAATTTTCTGAGGTTTGGCATCAAAGGTTTTCACACATGCCACTGTAACAGGGTGATATTTGAAGCTGAAAGAGATGCTTTCCCGTTTCCTATCAGCTGGGATTCAAATAATCCATTTCATATTTAGCCTAACCTGTAGGAACATGTGTATGTGCAATGTATGCAATCACAACAGTGTGTATACCCTTTCTTGTAGGAATTTGATTTTAAAAAAATACCAAAACAAAATCTCAACACAAAATGCCAATAAACTATTAGTGATGGAGTTCTGCCTTAACTGCTCATAATATTAAAAACCCATAATGTGAATGGCTGATCTTGCACTGTACAGACTGATTGGTTCATCACTGGAGCTAACTTGAACTATTATTTATTTTTAAAAATTTGAACAGAATAAATAATTTTACTGAGACAGTCAAGAACTGACTAACTCTCCTCTAAATAACAAATTAGGAAAGGCTGGGATAAGTACTTAGCTTTTAAGCAACTAAAAAACAGTGGTAGTAGCATCAATAGTGAGAAGCACGGTGTAATAAATAGTAACGTTTAAAGAAAGCCTTTTAAGAGAGACATATGGAACTTGTCATTGCCGACCTTCTGAAAAGAAATGTGACTGGTATGTTGACCCCTGGCTTCAATTGTTTCTTAATCACTGAATAGAAACAAGTATGCAGCATGAAAAATTAGAACGCTTCATCTGAAAGCCAAGAAACTAGCATTTTCCACAAGCAATGCCGCTTCGATATTTCTCTCATGGCTGATTTACGAAAGAGTAGGTTGTAAGTCAAAGTCTTTGCAACCAAAATAACTCTGTAATGGTTGTTTCATTGGCTCACTGGGGACTCTTTAGTGTCACAGGGCTCTTTGAAGGGGCTTTTAAAATCCTCCATAGCTCTTGTTTGGAGATTCCCTAGAGGCAGTCCATAGCAGGGCCCAGAGTGCTACATATCAGTGTGACTCCCACAGTAGCCAGTTACTGAATCTATTTGTGAGCAAACTTTCACACCATCCACTTTCATTACCACACACTTTGCTCAACCTCTTGAAAGCCATACATAGTCCTTGTGAAAGTGCTAACACAGCGCTATTGGTTAAGTATAAATATTTCCATAAAAATGGTAAAAAATTATATACATATAAATACCTTAAGAGAAATTATATAAATAAATAGGTTATACCCAGTGAGAAATACCATAAATTACCTAATGTTTAAAGCGATACAAAATGTGTAAAAACTGGTTTGTGTTAATACATAATCTGAGCGAAGGCTCCTAAGTGGATACAGTGTGATACAAAAAAGTATTTTTCAACAATAAAATCGATCGAAAAACGTCAAAACATTAAGATGTCTTATTAGTGAGAAAATAAAAGTGAGAATGCCACACAGTGGCAAAATATAAAAATCAAACCCTATAAATTATCTCATTAGTGGGTGAATTTGTGAGTCATGAGATAATTAGACAAAAAGGGTAAATAGTTCTTACACACATTTTTTCGTTTATTTCGTTTGCTTATTCGTCAATTTTTGATTTATTTATTATTGGGTCACTATATTCTGCATTTTGTGAGGAAACATTCGCATTTATTTCTAAATATCTTGCACTGGAACATTTTTACCCTTTTTGTCTAATTATCTCATGACTCACAAATTCACCCACTAATGAGAATTTTACATAGTCCTTACCTTACTCAACGCTATCTGCAGATCACCAATCACATTATCATCACATACTGGGACAGAGAGGCCTCCAAACTTCAACCCATGACAACCTGGTTGCACATTGAGAACATACCAAAGACTCCTTTGCACATCACCTCAAAATAGATTTAATTTTGTTAAATACAATTGTACATTAACTAGCCAAGAAGTAATAATGAACATAAACACTAGAGTTTTCCTGGATATAACCATTTTGTTTAGTAGTTCCAATGACTGATGTTTATTTAAAATGAAAAATATGTGCTATTGTGGGCTTCCTTAGGTAAATGTCAACAACCATGCAGAAATGGAGGCAAATGTAGTGGAAAGAATAAATGCAAATGTTCTAAAGGCTACCAAGGAGATCTGTGCTCAAAGCGTAAGTATGGATTCTTAATTACTTAACATTTATACTTGTACACAATGCTGTAACCTGTATCTCTTTGCATGATATTAATACGGTTTTTATGAATTTTTAAGCATTCTTTTCAGAATCCCTCAGCATAGTCTGCTTTATATAACTATTGGCATTAAAGGAATGTCCTGAAAAATTACAGGGGCTGCATTCCCTGAACTCCTTCTGAAAATTCTAGTTGTCTATCTCTCTATGCTTTCAGTACTATATATGCAGCCTATATGCAGATCAAAAAATTAGAGAATTTTTTGATCTGCATACTTGTTTGAGATCAATTCCCCGGAAACAACTGAAGATCAACATTACAGCCAAGCATCTAGTACTTTTATGAAAATGTCCGCCATGTCAGCCTCTATATTCTGTTAGTATAAAATTGTTCAAGTCCTGTTAAGTCCCCCCAAAGATCACTGATCAGTATCTCTCGGTGACTCCACCAGCAAGATTTCCTTGCAGTAGCTTGTATCTCTTAGCAGTATCATTCTTGCAACTGGACTTTCCAAATATTTGCTTATTTACATATTCAATGACAGCTGAACTGACATCACTGTCTGGCTTTGCAATTGCTGCAGTAATTGGGCATAAACTGGAAGTGAAGGTACAGTATATGGTCAAATATATGTAGACAACACTTTGAAATGATAAAGTGTGGGTTTTTCCAGTGAAGGCTACTGTTAATGCTATACCATAAAAAGACATTTTAGACAATTTCGCTCTTCCAATCTTATGGCAAGAGGTTTGGGAAGGTCCTTTTCTGTTCCACAAAGCTAGCTCTATTAAGAAATAGTTTGATGGGTTTGCAGTGTAGAAACTTAACCTTATTGAACACCATTAGTATTACTTGGAACACCAAGTGTGAACCAGGTCTTTTCAATCAACATCAGTACATAACTTCATAAATGCTCTATTGGCTAAATGGACACACATTTTCACAGACATACTCCAAAACCTTGTGAAAAACCTTCCAAGTTTGAAGGCTGTTATTGCCCCAAAAGAGGGGCCATTTCAATTATTGCACATAGTTTTGAAAAAGTATGTCCGACAAGTGTGATCAGGTATCCACAAATTTTTGGCCATATAGTGTATGATACCAAACATATTACACACTAGTAGTAGTACACTCAGCAACGTCCCCTAAATTTGATGTAGTCATTTTGGGCAGACTTGGCCTTTTCGTGGAAAGCCACTTAAACAGAGCCCTTAGGATACAACATACAGTAAGTGTGTCTTAAACATTCTTAAGTCATCTTAACTGGTATAAATATATGGATTTGGCTTCTTATGTCATTTTGAATTTACAATTTGTTGAACTGTTTCTCCAAGATAGCACATAGCTTTCAAACATGTCGTCAGATATTAACAACTTTGCATGTGTTCTGGATTTTCTCTCACTAATATAGATTTAGTACCTAGATCTTTCTGGGTTCTTGCAAAGACATTCATGAAGCTAGCACTTTTGGTGATTCATAAGGACATTCTGTTATCCCCAGTTACACAGGACTTTTCTCAAGCCTTAAAGCCTAACTCCAGCCATGTTTTTGGTAAAGTGGAGAAGGGTTAGGATATTTGTCAAGTTTTAAACGCTGTGTACGCAAACCACTATTCTACTGTGAAAGATCAGTAGCAGACCTCCTGTCTCCTCTGATTCTTGGACTATCAGCAAGTGTTTGGAGGGTAATTTTATAAAATGTGTGTACTTGTTGGGAGCATATGCTTGTTTCTATTTGACAGGTCACTGTAGTGTAAAATATTTGGAGGTGTAGCTGCTTCCATACATTGCAACTAGATTGTAAGGTAAAAGAATATAATTTTTTTATCAGCTACTTGCTGATGTGAATTGTCTTTGGAATAAATTAGGTTGTTATCCGATTAGGTAGGTAACTGAGATATAAACCTATTTCTTACCTCTATAGCTGTGTGTGAACCCTCCTGTGGATCACATGGAACCTGCACTGAACCAAACAAATGCCAATGTAAAGAAGGATGGAATGGCAGATACTGTAATAAACGTAAGTTTTTTCTGTATTTACTAAACTATACATTTCTGTTTTCTTTTCAACACATGTTGTATATTAACTCATCCCACTTTGTATAGCTCTACATAAGTAGGATTTTACTATAAACTATGAACTCTATGTATCCTTACTAAAAGTAAATAAAAAAACAGCGATAAAATATTTTAATTCTTTTGTGAAACAAACATTTTATAAACAACATTACACTATTCACCCCAGTTTATTTAGGAGGTATCTTACCTTTTGCTATCCATTATTGTCTGTTTTTACTGAGGTCATGGTGCACATGTGGAATTGAATATTAAACCCCAACTTCAAGACAAATCCAGACAAATATGTTTTGGTATTGGACAGGATGTAGAAGAGCTAGAATCGTTTTGGTGCCTGTGTCCCAATTTAAGGCATTTTTCTTTACTTCCTGTCTGTTTTATGGGTGTTACTGAAAATGGCAAGTGAGGGGGAAATCACTTGGCTTCCTGTGTATTTGATGGATGTCAGACAAGTAAGGTTAGGGCAGACACCAATATAAACCAACATTTTAGTAGAACAAGGAAGGGTTAGGTTTTTGTCAGGATGTTTTTTTGCTGCCCATCAGGGAGATTTTCCCTTACTTCCTGTTCGGGTGACAGGTCAGACAGAACAGGAAGAGAAGGAAAATCACAGGCAGCATGTAAAACTACTAGAGTAATATCTTCGCTAGAGACACAGATGACATGTAACAAACGAAAAAGATACCTTATCGCAAAATTGGATGAGGGTGCTTGCAGTTACCGTGGATGGCCGCGTCATTTATTGGAACGTCATGACACCAACACTAGCGCTTTCGGGGCCACGCAGGATCCCCTTCATCAGCCTGAGCCTGATGAAGGGGATCCTGCGTGGCCCCGAAAGCGTTAGTGTTGGTGACATGATGTTCCAATAAATGACCTTTTTGGACTACAACATTGTTGGTGTGCTGGTGACATCTATCCATTTTGCACAGATGACATGTAAACCCTTCCACACTCTCTCCACACTTAAAATAAAAGTTTTGTCTTGAATCACCTTGAATTGCCTTAAGAACATAACCAGAACATTGAAGAACACATTTATCTGCATATGACCAGCCAAGCTAAAGCAACAGGCACATGCTAACTTTCCTTGGTGAGCCGTTGACAATTTATACTTGTTGGGATGTCCTCTTCAAATTAATAGAACTTTGTGAACCCGTTTGTTGCTTGTTATTTGTTATATTGCACTCAGCAACTTGCCCCTTGGTTGCCCTTTCCTTGTTTTTGGTATATGATGAGCTTCAGGGTTAGTAAACATTTTTATTTAGTAGAAGATGCATGTTTTACTTGTTTTTCTTTTAATTTATAATAATTGAAAACAGCATGCAGTTTTTTTTACTATTTATAGAGTTCTAGCTGATGTTGGCTGTAGTTAGGTTGGCAGCACTTTTACCTTATCAGTTTGTACTAAGTAATCGCAATTCTTTGTATAAATCTCCTGACTAAGTACAGAAGGTACAATGTTGCCTTATGCATTGACAAGCCAATATGAATTATCATATGTCTTAAGAGTATTAATCAGTTTACTTGACAATACACCATCTATAAATAAAAATGAAGCCATTGGCAATGCACATTTATTTATTTTTTTATCTGGTACATGGTGTGCCAGTTTACCTCTTTAAAGGTTATTGCATAACTGGCAGTCATTAGACCCAAAATTCAGCTGCGTGAATTTGTTTTTGGTTTTGTCCAGTGTCTTTAAATTAAGTAAATGTTGGTATTAATGGTTCGTTGTGAACACAGCCAAAGTGGCAGCTTAATGGCAGCTCAGAGTCTATGTTTTCAGCAAAAAAGGCTGATTATCAAAATATCACTTTTATAGAAAAAGTATTTAAGGCCAAGTATATTATTGTGAATCTGTTATAGCTTTTTTTTTTATACCTGTAGATTCCAGCTGAAACAGAGCACTAGAAAAACAAGGCTTTCATTAGTTGCCAGCCATAAGCAAGAATGACTGGAATGCATGTGTGTGTTGCTGTATTCTGACAGATGTTATAATCTGCTGTTTGCAATAGATATTACATGGGAATGCAGTAGTGAGGGGGCACATGCACACCATGAAATAGAAAAGTTCAATTTAGTTTGGGGTATCATTTTCCAAGCGGTGAACTACCTTATCTGTTATCCATTTATGTCTATGCTGCTACCCTACTTTTTGATACAACAAACAAATGCACATGATCCTTTCTACTGCACTTCTCATCCAACTAGCACTGAAAACAAGGGCAAAGCAGACTTATTGCCTACAGCTTGATTCTTTGTTTTCTTTTTCCAAATCAGATTGGACCTTAGATGGTAAAACTTGATTGGCTGCAGTTAACAACAGCCATATGTTTCATTTGTTCTAGTTTACCAGTTTTAAAAAGCCCACAAGGCTTTGTGTGTGTGTGTGTGTGTGTGTGTGTGTGTGGAGAAGCAGGATCTGGGACGTGCAGATTCCTTACTTTCTGGCAGTTCACTATCCTTTGGAAGCAATTTGGGTCAACTTGGGCGATGAATGATACAAAATACTTTTTTTTTTAAATAAGAAAATATATTTAGCCATGTGCTAGTCTAACATGGCTGCCACTTTGTACAAGTTTTGTTCTATATCACAGATCTTGCGATAAAGACTCCCTGTCTGTTAAATGCCCATTTCCCAATGTCACTCAAACCAGAGAGTAAGGGTCCTTTTACCTCCCGGAGTTCAGCATGACAGGAGCCAGACCACCACAGAAGTTTAAACTGGCAGAGACATTTTGGCTAATGTCCAATGCAAGCTTTTAATCTGATGATGCTGGCAGATAATGACAGGTACTATTATAGAGTATGACAGGACTTCAAACAGATCTATGATTATGCATTCATGCACTGTGCAGAACTGTTTACTAAATTTGTAAGTATGCTGAACAAACAGTGACATGGAGTAAGAGACATAATATGCACACACAGCAATAGCTTAACAAGGGTTCTAGTTCTACTCTAAAACAGCTAAAAAGGTAACTGTGCAGAAAAATGTTTGATTTCAAGTGCTGGCAAAGTCATTCCCAGAAGTAAACTAAAGTAAAGAAGTAAACTGTAAATTAAAGTAAAGGATTCCTGGGCAAGAGAAAATACTTTATTAATGTTTCATTTTCATCAGCTAGGCCAGGGATATGTCAGAACTCTCTAATTAATAATGTGTCAAATATTCTAGAGGGCATCATTGCCTTTTGTTCATACCAATACACATAATTTCTGTTAATTTTTTAAAATTGTAATAAATAGTGTAGATGGGCCCTTAAAAAAGAATGTCACAATAATCCAGCAAGTCTTGTTGTAAAGAACAACAAGAATCCTACTGACATACTCACCTCCTTTGGATCTCTACCGCAAGACCTTTATCTTATCTGTATTACCATGAGTATCTCTAACACAAAATAGAGACATTTATAGCTGGTCAATAAGTCAAGAAGTCTGCTGTTACAGCTTGGGAGAGATGATCCATGTCATGGCATTTGGACCAGATTTACTACCTGGGCCTCTGAAGACTACACCTATAAAAGCACTAGAAGCAACAGCACCAACGCACAACATTTGCAATCTGAGTTTGCCTTTTTCTAATATTTTTGCTTTGTCTGTTCACTACTACTAAATGTTGGAAAAGACTGCATCAGGACTGAAGAGGAAGAGGGTCCTTTATATAGACTCTTGACTAAAAACTTCAGAAATAAAACTAGAATATTGCCTCAAATTGCAAATTCTGCATTTAATTTTAACAGTGAGCATGGCTGGCCTCAAAAGGATTCAAGCCTGCTGAAAGGGCAAACAATATTCACATGTTCCTAGTGCTGAATTGTCTCTAAATATGGCCTTACCTGGGAAGCTTGTGTACCTTGGTTCCACCTTTTGGTTCTGTAAATAACTGTACTTTTATCATCATCTTTTGCTGGACCAAAGGCAGTATAACTCTAAAGTTTAACTCCAGGCAAACAATAACACTAAACCAAAACATCCACACCATTGCACATGCTGCAGAGGAAATTATTACTGTAAAAACTTAATACCTGTGCTGGCTGCAATTGCCATGTCCATAGTTCCTTACTACATAATTACTTCCAAACTACAACTCCCAACATGCATTTAGCCAATATCATTTTTTGGGCAGGTGTGTGTGTTGTAAAGTAGCCACCATTCCAAGCTTGCTCCCACGATGGACTACAACCTCAATACAAATTAGTAAACTAAACATGAGATTGTAGCCCATCACAGGAGTGAGCTTGGAGTTGTGGCTACTTTACAACACACACAGGGACCATGGGGAACAAAAGTAGCCACCCTCCAGAAAGAAGGACAGTGTTAGCATGAATTCAGAGAATACTTGAGGATCTACAACTGAGTGATTATATGAATAAGTTACATTTTTGTTAATAGTTAAAAAGAGGTCAGTCATTTTTTTCAAACGACTTTTTTATCTTTTCTATTGATGTTTGATTTGTTTGCTCATAAGAGTCAGTACCATTTAAATGGTACAAAGTTTCTTCTTAACATATGCTAAGAGTATGCGGGGCATTCCTATTTATCTTATACCAAATACTGCACATTTAAACAACATGTGCAACTATTTCTAAAAGTGTTTATCATTTTCATAAACTCTGTTATGCTTACATTTCAAAGAATGTTCTTACCAGTTTAACCTTTTCTCCACCAGAGCCATTTTTAAATTTGTTGCATGCATGTTAAAATGCACATTCTAGGTCTGTAGATTACTTAAACCCCCCAGAATAATATATTTTCAGAAAGCAGGGACCCTGGAGAATAAAATGGTGGCAATTGCAATTTTATGTCACACACTGTAAGCACGCCTGTTTATTAAACCCAAATGTTCAGTTCAAATGCATTTAAATTAATCTTAGTGCACACAAACACAAAATGATACACAATCTGTTAGTAAGTATAAAAAATGAGGCTACATTGAGTAAATAGATACCAAGCATGTCAAGTCTCAAAATTGCATGTACCCATGAAGTTAACTTTGTTAACCAATAGAATACCTATGCCTGATGGAAAAACTGACAATGGCAAGACAAGAACGGACACACTTGTTCGAAGCCACATGGGACCCTTGGAGAGCCGTTAGACCCACCACCCTCTCTAGCAATTGACTAGTTATTAAATAAATAAAAGGGTACAAAGAATACAACAAGTTAGATGCGAATCTCTGCATTCCCCTCCCCCTTCCCTCCATTCCCCTCCCCTTTTTTTTTTCCCCTTGTTTGTTTAGGTACATAATTGAGGTTGCTGCACTACTCACCTCTGTGGTTCTGGGACCCCACCTAGTATGTGCTCATGATTCAGTGAATAATGGGGGAGACATGAAAGAAAAGATTAATATTGGGAGCAGAACCACAGAGGAAAGTGCATGGTAAATATATGTATTTGTACACGGTTCTATGTGAATTATGTGGGATGTCTCAACAATTGTTAAATGTTTGTTAAATGTCTGATAAATAATAAAATAAAGATTAAATATGAAAAAAAAACTTTGTTAACCAAAATTGTCCATAGGCAACACTTTAACAGCTTATTAGTTTAGAGTTAACAGTGAATGATGGCCCTAGAATTATTTCTGTTACTCCAGCATACATTATGATACCTAACATGTGTGGCACAATCGTTGTTTTCATATGTAGGCATACCTGACATTCATGTTTACATTCGTATGTATTTTCATAAACTTCAGTATTTTTAAACCTTTTCCTTTTTTTCCACTTAACTTTATTGGTATCACATAGGGAACTGACAACTCTAATCTAAGATCCATTGTCTAATGTCCCCATTACACTATTTTAAAGCTAATCAAGCACAGATCATGCTCAATCAGCTTTTTCCCTGGCCAAAGCGGCCAGGAAATGACACTGCAGCAAACAGAAACATGGTGCGGGTTAGGAGGGGGGGCGGGGGGATGGGATCGGGTTGGCATATTGCTGTACCTGTGGAAGTGTCTATAGCAGCCGAAAATGTGTGTACAGGCCCTCGCTGCCGCCGGGATATGGCATAGGTCGGTGGCAGGGAAAGGGTTAAAGGCATCATAACATGAACTGTATGTTTGTTTAATGAAAAACTCCACTTACATAAAAAAAACTATAAACATGATTGTTAGCCTGTTTTGTAATTTAATTAGGCAAACTTTTCTTGATCTTTCAATGTCAATCTGTAGTCAACTCTGATTCTAAAATATTGCTAACATTTCAAATAATTTCAAATCTATCTTCCTTACAAACATGTTAACTGTACGTTTTATGTTGGGCAACCTAGATATCCTATTCTTATGTGATTGGTTCACTCTAATCTCACGCTAAAGCCTAACCTAAGCCGCTGTGCCTATTAGCAAATCGATAATAGTAAATATATCCAATAAAGTGCACTGTGCTATTCAAATTACCCAAAAAATAAATATAAGAAATGTATACATGTAACACGTGCACAATTCATACAAAATATATAAATGTCCAAATACTGTGCAGAATGTGCAAGCAAAGTCTATATATCAACTTGATGTAATCCAATCCCAATAATCCATAGGTTAGTCCATTTACTTCTTTGCATGATCCAGATCAAGCTAAACTCTCTAAATCTAAGTATGGCAAACTGCACTTAAAATAATAGTAGTCTACATCCAAACTGCTTATGTCCTTCCGTCTATCCAACTGTTTACCCAAGAGTTCCAACCCAGAGGTTTGTAAAAACAAATAAAAAATACTCTCATAGTTTAAAACTGCCATACGTTTATTGAAATTAAAACATTAACATCACTCACATATCCATGTTCTTCTGAGCACATATGAAAAGCACTTGCATACTAGCAGTCTGTGACACTTTCCCCAAGGTATTGCATTAATAACAGGTTAGTTCCCAGTTACGTAGTGATGTTAGCAGACTCCTCCTACGCGTTTTGTCATGTGACTTACTCAGGAGAACTTCCTTAGGAGGACTTCTACTTTTGAGGAAGTCACATGAAAAAGCGCATCGAGTGAGCTGAGTCTGCTGATGTCACAACGCGACCATAGACTAATCTGTTACTGTCACAATATGTGGGAAAAAGTGTCACAGACAGGGGGTGTATGCAAGTGCTTTTCATATGTGCTAAGTAGAACATGGATATGTGAGTGATTTTAATGTTTTTTAATTAAATACATGTCTGATGGTTTTAAACAATTAAAGTTGTATTATTTGTTTTTGTATATCATTATTTATTTTAGGGTAATTTAAATAGCACCGTGTGTTATTTGATATAGTGAACATCTAACCTCAGAGGTAAGGAGGCACTAGCTTGCTTAACTTATGTATCCAGTATGGGATAATGTGCTCATTATTGTAAATTGTGTGGGTTTATTTTTGCCACCATTTGAAAACAAATGTCAAAAGGCTATGCATGCTTAACATTATTTATGTTTTTAATTGCATTTGCGTAATGGTTATCTTACCGGTCAACTTGTCTCCTTTAATAAAGTGTTTGAAAGCAACGGAGAATTAGTTTAAGTGTCTCTAATGACAGAATGTCTGTTTTTCTCATTTTGTCTCTTATACTTTGGGTAATTTTCAGGGTACGGAGCCAACCTCATGAATGTCCTGAGGCCAGCAGGCACCAAGAACAGACAGCACACACCTTCTCCGAAACGGACTGATGACAAGCATGTTTCACCCGAGTCCAATTATATCTGGTGAAGCCCGGCACATCTGAAACCTTTTACATTACAGAGAGTTCAAAGTGTTCATTAACCTTTCATGCATTGTATGATTACTGGTCTGAATCCTACTAGCTTCAATGTAAACCACTGATGTACCATTTCATTCCATCAGTTTAATAATCTAAGTTTGGTTTCTTTTTTTCAGTGGTTTTTATGACCTATGTAAAATATGTCTAGTTTTCATTAATATTTCAGAAATAAAATGGAATTCCCAATGGTAGTTGAGAAGCACTTTGTCTCCGAAATGTTGAACATCGAATTTGTTAGAAAGAGCAGTTTGTTAAATTACATATGAGAATAACTAAGGAGCATTAGGGTACAAGCTGACCATCAAGACACAATTGCATATGGCAAACATATCTTCATCAGAGGTCACTGTAGAGATAATTCACCTCTGGTACACACTACAGTGTTAAACATTCAGATGATAAATCTGATCTGTTCTGTTCACCAGATAGTTCTGCATTGTAAGTTATCTTTACACTAAGCCTGGTGCATCAATCATGCACAAATGCAGCTTGAAACTGGGGATTTGGGGGATCCCCAATCTATCCTTACCCGTGGGCAAGGTCAGATAAATGATTAAAGCTCTTTGATTCTGTGGTGCTTTAAATCATGTTTAAAGCTACATTAAATGGAGAGTTTTTGTGGAGAGGATTACTCTAGTAATAGACATATATTGTGTGCAGAAGGAAGTAATCTTCAGCTACACAATGTAAAGTAATCTTCAGCTAAACAATCTAAGAAATTAAGAACAGGGAAAGGTGGCAATATGACTGCTTAATCCAACAAGGATAAAGGTTCATTTTTTATTAATCTTTCCCTTAATTGGGTGTTGATCAGAATTACTGGTGTAAGATTTACCTTATATAGCCAAACATCCCCTATCTACTTATGACTTTGGGTCTACCCAGGAATTTTATTTCCCAAAACCTAGTAGAGTGAGTTACCTCCTTGCTCTTTCTAGGGCCTTTGATTTTAAGCTGGGTGTTTGTACTTACCCTTGAGTGTTCCCACATCTTCTTTTGCATTTTTCATGCAATTGAAAGCAATTAGAAATCCAACAGAAAGAACAGAGTACACTTCTAATGGCCGTTGCCTCATGCGCAAACCTGGATCGTAGGCACAAAACTACCACCAGCATCCCCCAGGGACATGATAAGCCACCAGGAGGTTTTATTCTCCAGTATCTACCAATGGCTAAAACATTTTGGGGGACTTTAAATAAATTGGGGCTGAATTACGAAACACACAGAAATAGCTGCTGCAAGCAATCAGATTTCTTTTTAGGACCCAACTGATTTTTTTGTTGAAATAAGCTAAAAATATTCAAGGTGCATCAAAATAAAAAGTGCCACAGCGTGAGCAGAAAAGTCTCCTGCCAGTACACTGTAGAAAAGGACACTTACTCTTTGTGTGGAAGCAGTTGTCTCTCTGCAGAGGTCTAAGACACCCACTGATGAATCAGACCTATAGCTCTGCATTCAGCAATGTTCATGCTCCCTGCTGATTGGATAGCTCTGTATCTGACTCAGCAGGGGGCATGTTGGCCCTTTGCAGAGGGATCACTGCTTCCAAACAGAGAGCAAGGAGCCGTCTCTACAGCATGTTGGCAGGGGACAGGTTTTCCTATGCTTTGCCTACTTTCTAAGGAAAATGAACTGAAAAACTGCACTCTTTTCGTATGATACACGTGAAATGTATTTAGCTAACTGAAAGTTCAGGTGGGCTTTACAAATAGTGATTAAAATAGTCTAATTAAATTTTCTATATACACTTTAAGTTAATGGGTTGCTGAATTTACAAAGGCATATGTGGTTGATCAAAGGGCCTCCACAGTGAACAGGTTATTTTATCCTAGAATATTTAATTATTCATTATTACTTCTAGAAATCTAGAAGTAATGCTGCCTATGTTTTTATGGGCAGAATTTTTCTACAGACATTAAGGTAAATGGGAACATTCATTCTTCATAAATGGTTGTTAAAAAAGGCAGTCTAAAGTACATTAAACCATAGAAACCAATCTGATTTTCCTTGAATGCAGTACATTCAGAAAAATAAAAGTTTAGGTTGCTAGGAGTCACTGCTCTTTGTATATACTCATTGCACTTTGCGCTACCTTATTTTCTTTTTATACAGTGGGGAAGAGTTAAGATTTCTGCCAGGTTTGTATATTACAGTATGTGACTCCCATTGAAGAGATTTTCCTTTTCTTCCTGTCCCTTTGGTGGCTATACATGTCCAGGACAGGAAGCCACACACAGCAATGAAAAGATTTCAGAAAGTCTACCCTTTTCCCACTTTAGTAAAATGTGTTTTGTTAATGTCGCTGCCTATTGGAGAGATTTCCCATGACTTCTTGTCCTGACAGGAAGTCATGAGAAATCTCCCAATATAGACATAGATAAAATAGCTTTAAAATGTATGTATAACCAAAACTGTTTTCAGTTTTGGATAGCGTGCCGACGGGTTAAAACCCTTACCAGATTTTTTTTTTTTGTCTGTGTCTCAGAGACACCTCTACAACATGAGGGCTATTCCCCTTCCAGGCAGCTGACATTAGAATAGGTTTCACCAAGGAATATTTCCTATCTAGTGCTATTCTGATGACAACTCTAAAATGTTGGATTTCCCATTAATTCCTGTTCCAGTGACAATGGCCACCAAGACAGACAGAGAGGGTGAATCTCCCCAGTGAGACACAGGCAGCAACATAAACATGACAGGGGTCCAAATTCTTCCTTACCCCATCAATAACTAAGAAAACAGCTCAAATAGGACAATAGGGATGAACTGACCGTGGTCCAACATGATGTCCATCCACAGCAAATTCAGCCATTGGATAACCAGCTCCATATATCTTTACAAACAGTTGCCATAGTGTAATAAATGTAATCTATTTGTATCAATATGTTGCAGCATTTAATACATAAGCATAAAGCCTGATTTAGCTACATAGTTTTCAGATGCGCTATTGTTCTTTATTGACTGAAAGATGTTTTTCCGTTTAGTAAATGGCATTAAGTTAACTAGTGGATACATTATTACAGAATGTGTAAAGTCATGTCAGACCTGCTCTAGGGTCTTTGCTAGCAATTACAGTAAATGTTACAGTATTGCATATTAAATAAAATTGTTATTTGGATTGTAAGCAGTGCATCTGAGTCTTTGTTGGGTCATAATGTTTGACTTTTGTACATAATGTGTATACTAATAAAAAGATATCAACATGGATGTCACACTATTTACTCAAACCTAACCTGTCTAAAAATGAGCCTATAATATTTCCTTTTCTCTGTGTCCCCTCCCCCAACTTCTCCATCACGATTAACAGCACAACAACCAACCCCTACCCTCAGGCTTGGGTGCTCAGTGTAATCCTTGATTCTGAGCTTTCCTTACAGCCCCACATCCAACCACTATCACCATTTTCCATCTCGAAAATTTTGAGGACACACTCCACCGTGAGTTGAATCTATTTTTCTATTTGACTGTATTTTTCATTTTTTGCTTCTTTTTTCATACAACTTATACCCATTTCAAGTTCACAGAGCTCTGTTGCCACTTTTTCTCCCCTCCATTAAATATGGGCTATATTTTGCCATCTATTTGGAGATCCTAAAAACATAGGAAATTATATATATTTCCGATACCAGATTTTTTCTGTCTATTTTGAAAACGTTAGGCATTCAAACGGTGTGTCTCTAAATTGTTTTTCCACTACCTATGGTTTAAAAGTTATTAGCGGAATGCAGCCATATACATGTGTGTGTGGTTTTTTATACACATTTTTTATAGGTTCTGTTATACATATTTTTTAGTGTTTCTATAAATAAATAAATAAACATATATATTTTTATAAATATCTATTTTATATTTGTTTGAAGGAATAGTGGGATCCCCTTTTGGGGAATTTTGTACCTTTTCTAAATATCTAACCACTATCCAAATCTTGCTGACTCAACCGCCACAGCATTTGCCCCTTTTTGCAAATTACACTACAAAGCTTCAAATTCACTCCCTTATAATCTCTCACCTTTACTATTGCAACTCACTCCTTGTTGGTCTACCACTACACAGGCCTTCAATCTATCATGAATGCAGTGAGGAGGGAGTGAAGTGTGTTTTCTCATTCAGCACCATGGGGCTAGAAAAAACAGCTAGTGTATGGGCAGCATCTTAATTGGTTTAATTTGTTGTATCTTATATTGTACAAAGTGAACCAAATATCCAATGTCAATTACAGTAAAATAATATTGATGATCTCTTTATCACATCACAGTCCAGACAGCAGATTCCCCCTCCTGGTCACTGTTTAGTAAGTGTTAAACTGAAATCTGATACAAAGCAGATAATCTTCTGTTCCAAAGCTGGCTCTATCATTATGTATAGGACTACTAGTTCCAAGGTCTTGCTCACACAGACATCAAGGGGGGCGGAAAAAACAGGTGGTTGATTTGTGGTTTTTCAGCCCCCCGGTCATCTGCTGCAATGTCAGCACTGCAGTCAAACAGTGCTGTATACAGTGCTGCGGCCGCAATACTTTGCATCACAGCAAACATTTACAGCATGTTGCATCTGACAGGCAGTGACACCTGTCAAACACAATCAGTGCAATGAATTGAACTGGCTTGCAAATGTGTGGGTACGTGGTTGCAGCATGATATTGCAACAGAAAATTCCCATTGGGATTAAAAAAAGATTGCATTTAGGAGGCAGCATTGTCACCTCCTGAACACCGGTCAACTGCTGTTCCACCACCTTCTGAAAAGCAATCCACCACGGAGCACTTTTCAGAGGGCAGTGGAGGGTGCCTCCCATGCGAACTGAGTCATATAGTACTTCTCTGGTAAAGCATATTTGTTAGCGAAGAACTTTCATTCTCACATAATTACAGTTAGCAGGGGTTAACTGGAAAACTTTTAAACCATTCTGCTACTTGTACAGGTTCCAATAAGTATTTTTTTGTAAATTCCATTTAGTAAGATTTTTTTGTTTTTTCTTTTGGGACACCACTAAACTAATATGTGCTTTAATATGCAAAATTAAAAAGATCTGCAGGTTGCACTTATTTCATGGAACACTACTTCTTGACCTTTCACGCTCATATTATTCACTAGTGAAAAGAAATGTGTTGACCATGACAACTAATTAAACGCGTTAACCTGACCTAGAATGACTGCTGCTGTCTAATTGGATGAGGAACATCTCTTAT